TGATTTGTTTACTTTTCCCTACCAGGACAGCTCATGACTCTACTCTCTTGCTAATTTTGGCACCTGGAGGTGACCTTTAGGTGCTTTATTTTCACCTCTGCTTTTTTGCTGATTTTGGCCCTTGTATACATCTCTCTTATTAAACGTGGGTTGGGTATTTTTATTTATAAAATAAAAAAATATATATTTAATTAAAATTATTATGAGACAAACTTTTATTTTTAATAAATGAAAAGTAAATCTGAAAAATAAAATATTTTAAATTTTATGAAATAAAAAATTAAAGCACAATTATATGTAAAATTTAATTTTAAAAAATAATTATTTAACCAAATATTTTTTTATCTCTAGCCGGAGAAAAGTAAAGCTACTATAAATACCTAATAGTATACAAGTATTATCATGGTATTATGTCCATATTAATGAGATAGTCATTTGATTAATTATTTTTATTAAAATAATATATATTTTTAAAAATAATTATAATTGATTTTATCAAATTTTACTATTTCACTCGAATTAATTATATTTCACTAAATAATATTTAATTTAAAACTTGACTAGGTCATACAATATTTGATATAATTTTTATTTTATTTTTATATTTTTTAAAAATATTTTTTATCTTAAAAATATATTTTTTAGTATTATCTATAATTTTAATATACTAATATTAAAAAATAAAAAAATTCAAACAAAAAATTATTTAAAAAAAAACTGTAAATCATATCCTCGATTATGCATTTGCCTTTTCTTATAATTTTTATTAACACCTTGAAAAGATCAAAGCTCCAAGTCTGTGTAAAAAATAGAAAATGTCAAGCATATTTAATGTAATCATCCACTCTTTTAATAGATATCTTAACTACTGTTAAAAGACTCCAAGCATACACCTGTACTCAAAGAAGTGAAGAACCTTGAAACTTTTCAAAACCTTGAACTTAATGCCACTGCCTCTGCCTGGCTCCTTCCTCTCACCATCCTAGGGTTTACACAGAGGTTTTCACAAAGGTTTGTGCTTTGTTGTTTCTTTGTTTACGTTTTACATAAATGTCATAAAATATATCATGGGGTTTTTGGTCGTTTAAGTAGTAAATTTATTTCTTTTTATAAAATATTATAGGTTCTTTAAATGGAGGATGCAATGGATGACTTAGAACTGGTTGACATCAAGAAAGAGAGTTTGCATAGATGTCTCGATCAACTGCATGCACAAGCCTCTTCAATTCTTTCATTCACTCTTAAATGGAAAGATTTGGAGGCTCATTGTGAATCCTCGAAGGCTTTTCTTTTAAGGAAAATGGAAGAACTTGCCTTGCTTGAGAAGAAAAATGTTGAAATGTTGAAAATGGTTGAGGAACGTGAGGAGAAGTTTGAAATTAAGGCCAAAAAATACGAGGAGTGTATTTCTGAGCTGAAAAATAAGGAAAAACAGTTGGGTTTGGTGAAAAATTGGATTCAAGAATGTGATTTGGAGTTGAAAACTCGGCGGGAGGAATTAAATTTGGTTCGACAAGAGGTTGGGGATTGTAATGTGGTGCTCAGTGTGAAAAGAGAGGAATTGAGGTTGGTGCAGACACAGATTGAATCGAAGGAAAGGAATTTGGGTTCGTTGGAAAAGTTACTTGAAGATCATTGTAGGGAGATTTTTGAGAAAGATGAGAAATTGGGATCTTTACAGAAGTCGGTCGAGGAACGTTTGAAGGAGCTTGAATTCAATGAGAAGGAGGTAGAAAGGGTAAGAAAGTTGATAGCGAATTGTGACCGTGATCTTAAGTTCAAACAGAAGGAGTTACGAAATGTCAGGAACTTGATCAATGATTGTAATAAGGAGCTTTCGTCAAAGGAGATGGATTTGAAAATGTTGCAGGTGAGGAGTTCTGCTAAATTTGTTTCAAAGAAGGACGAACTAGACGGAATAAAAAAATCAATTGAGTCCTCGAAGGAGCTTGATTTGAAAAAGAAGGAGCTCGACAGAACTAAAGAATTGATCCAGGAATGCGTAAAAGAGCTTAATTCTGAACAGAGGGAACTGAGTCTAATAAAGAAATCAATTGGGGAGAGCTCAAAAGAGTTTGATTCGAGACAGAACCATCTTGGATCAATCAGTGTGTTGATTGATGAATATACAGAAGAACTCGAAGCCAAAGAGAAGCAACATGATGCAGTGAAGAAGTCTATCAATGTGCGCTCTGCAGACCTCAAATCAAAAGAAACAGAGTTGAGGTCGATTGAAGATTCTATCAAAGAGCTCTCAGCAAAGCTTAAACAAAAAGAGGAGAAATTGGATTCAGCTCGACAACGTGTGAAACATTGTGCCATAAAAATTGAATCAAAAGAGGAGGAGCTCAATAAAATCAAAGGAAGAATGAACACATATGATAAAGAGCTTGAATCGAGAGAGAGGGAGTTTAATGCCATTCAAATGTCCATTGAATATCGAAATGAGGAACTTAAAGGGAAGGAGAGGCAACTGAAATCAGTCCAACTATTGATAGGGGAATGTGAGAAAGAGCTGAAAGCAATGAAGGAACAGAAAAATTCCATCCAAAAATTAATTTTAGAATGCTCTGAGGAGCTCCAATCAAAAGAGAAGAACCTTATTTTGGCAAGGGAATCTCTCAGAAAATGCTGTGATGATCTCGAATTGAAGAAGTTGCAGCTGGATTCAATTCAAAGATCTTCCCATGAGTCGAACAAAAAGTCTGAAGAAAAAGAGAAACATCTCAGTTCACTAGAAAAAACATTAGACGAACGCTTGACAAATCTTGGAGTGAAGGAGATGCAGTTCGAAGAACGTGTCAATGAGATTGAATTGAAAGAGCAACAAATGCGTTTAATGCAACAATCAGTAGAAAAATACCGTAAAGATGTGGAGTTGAAAGAGCAGCAATTAGGTAACATCCTTAATTTATAGAGTGCCTTTTCTCCTTTAGTGTGAACCTGATGGTTGATCTAATTATCTGCGTTGCACAACTAACTGTTGTTTGTGATTGGTTAACTTCACATTCAGTTCAATACATCTATTTTTGTGTCTACATATTTCTTTAGAATTCTTTTAAGGCTTGTGATTATTTCCCCCCTTCATTTGAACTTGGTGCTGTGCCTACCAGTTTCAATGGTGGTGCAGTCCTTTCATTAATGTTCATACTATTTGGTCTCCTATCCCTTTTCTTTTAGCAAGTCAGCAATTGTGTTGCTGAGACCTGGATTGTTGACTCTTTTTTTTTTCCTGGTTCCAAGGCCTGGTGTAATACTCTCCTCTCACTGGTATTTCCTCCCTACAGTCTAGTTTCCCTCAATTTTGGGCCAGCTTGCTGATGATTTCTCAGAATTCTACTTTGGTATTGGTAGAGATTCGTAGTCACATTTGTTGCTTCATTCTTTCACCCGGTTGCTGCCACATGGTTTTGCTGGAATTGCTGGCTTTCTTGTTCTGCGGCAGTTTTCTGGGTTTTTCAGTTTGTCCATTGGAGTCTTTTTCCTGCAATTTGAGGGACCTCTTGTTTTTTTTTATGTTCGTACTATTTCATGGAGCTTCTTTGATCTTGGAAGACTTGTTCCTAGCCAACAATCTTGTTTCATTTCCTGATGTACTTTGCTTGATGGTTTCCTTTTATGCTTCTGGATTATGTTTCTTTGGCTACTAACTTCATTGCTCAATATCTCTCCTCTAGTTACCTCTCTTAGTAAAATGATTCATGATTCACCCAAAAAAAAAAAAAAATAGTTTGAGTCAGCAACCGACTACAACATCATTACAGTAGCTTCAGCAGAACTTCAATGACTTGTCGGGACTTGCTGTAGTTCTGCTTCCTGTACTTGTTATGCAGAATCATCTGTCTGTGATTGTTAATGTTCTTCTTTGTACTTATCTTTTGTAATCGCATCTCCCTTCTTCCTTTTATTGATCACTACTTCCTTAGACACAAGCAGGGTGTCTTGAGAAATCCCGGGTCTGACTGCAAGGAAATTGGTTGGTTGGGCAGGGGCCTATGTTCTGCTTTAAGGGCCTAGGGCCTAGGAAGAAAGGGAAAAAATTCTCTCGCGACGTTGTCATGCATAATCCTGAAATTTAGTATTTTCACAAGCCATCTGTATTGATACCACGGCATTCTAAAAACTTAGTAATTTCTGATTTTGTTTTTTCAAAAATTCATTTTGTAAGCATAAGCATTCCTAGGTCTTGCACTATGGGCACACTGCTTTGGTTATTTTATCAGTTCTGCTGGTACTGCCTAAAGATTGTCTAAGCAATTGTAGTGCATGACAAATGCATATAATTTATGTCTGAACCTGATATGTTTTCTTAGTAACGGTGTCCGAACCTGATCTAATTATTAATAATGGTTTCATCTGTCCCTTGCTTAGGTGGCACCATCCTTTCTTCGCATGTAAGGGTTGACCAAACTGAAAATGTTAGAAATCCAAAAGATGTTTCATCTTCAACTTTCCTATTTAATGCCACCACCAGCGACAGGAGTTCACCAGTGGTAAATTTTTGTGTAAGCGAACATGATCTGATGCACCATGGAGTTCCAGCTGAACCAGCAAAGGTTGTCTTGGATATTGTCCAGAATTGGAAGAAAGGAGTTACAGGATTTGATGCAAGTGTGAACAGGGATAATGTTGTTCTATTGGAGCAGCTAATGAAGGTCTCGCCAGAAATAAGTCCTCGTGTGAAAGAAGCTGCAACAAAGCTGGCGGTTCTATGGGAAAAAAATATAAGGTTGGAGACCGAGGATTCTATGGAAGTGTTGATGTTTTTGCTGTTTTTGGCTGTGTATGGACTGGTTTCTTGTTTTAGAAGAGACAGAATTTTAAGACTTGTTAGAGTCATTGCTCAGCAAAAACAGGCTCCAGAAATATTCAAGGCCCTGGGTTTTGCAGATAAAGATCTGGCTCCGGGTAAGTTTACAGACTCTTCACTGCTAACGAATATAGCTATCTGGTCACAGATTGATTGATTTCTTTTGGAACCAGTATTTCTATCTTTGTAGTTTGAAATAGGCTTGCGCATTATATAATTGCATTAATCCTATACCTATTTGTATTTTCTTTTTTTGTTGCTTAGCAATTTCCTGAACCTTAGACCTTCTTGTAGCCTTCTTTCTGATGGAAACCTTAGACAATATGATCTTGCCATCAATATGACATGCCCGTATCTAGGGTCCCCAAGTATTTTTGCTGTTTTTCTTTGATTTTAGATTGCCATTCTGATGCATTACTGAAGGTATTTATCTTGGAATGATGTCTGATTAAACAGTGGAAGGATTTTCTTCGAGATGACCTTTTCTGCCTGTTGGCTCCATGTAATAAACTATTTTTCAAAGTTCATCTGAAGTTATTCATTGACATAGTTTAAGATGAGTTCTGTTTAATCAGCCTCAAATGCAGGCCAAAAATCTGATTCAGCAATGTCCTATTTCCTGTGGCCTGGAGGCTGCAATTTTATTTTACCTGATCTTTTTTCTCTATTGCAGCTTTTATTGAGAATCTTATTGAAGAGAAGCAATATGTGGCTGCTGCTAGATTTAGTCTTGCATTTGAGCTTGTCAACAGATATCCACCAGAAGTCGTCTTGGGAAAAGGCGTGGATGCAATGAATGGTGCATCGGCCTCCGAGGGAAGAAATAATTCAAATGAAGCGCAGGCATGTGTATTCTACCGCATCATTGTATTATCATCTGTTTCCTAGTCAGTGATCCTATTATCTTTACACACAAACACACACTTGTGCGTGCACAAACAAACATGCAAATCTGCTCTCGAGTAGCATGGAAAGCATATTGACAGTGGGACATTGCTGCAGCGCAAGGCCATTGACAAAGCAATATCTGCTCTAAGTTCTATTTTGGAACTTGTAGCAGATTACAAATATGAATCCAAATATGTGACTGAGGACATTATTCGTTCCATTTCTTACCTGGAAAAGAAAAGGGAAGGCTGGGCATGCTCTCTGCAAGCTCCTAACTCCGTCAGCATTTCTTGCCCTGCTGATCAGCCAACTTCTGCTCCCGTTGTCCAACCACAGCTACTGAATCCAAACCTCTGGAATCAACTGCAACAACAAGAGATGCGTTTTAGGTCTGATTTTCCTGTTGATATCTCTGGAGTAAGGAATCAGTCGGCTTCTGCTCCCATTATGCAACCACATCTACACAACTCAAACTTCCAGGACCAAGAACAACTGCAAAATAACAATAAGCGTCCAAGGATAGACCTGTTAACTGATAGACCACAAGTTACTAAAGATGTTGCAGCTTATGGAGGTGCAACTCAGTTTTTCACTGCTACAAACCACTTTGGAGCCTCAGACTTGAATGCTCAACAATCAAATATTGCTGGAAGACACAACTGGTTCCCCACCTGGCAACAGCGCTGATAGGTCATCCCTGTCACCGGCCTGTACATAGTGTTGCATAGAACCGTGCTTATGTCGTCTTTCACTAGATCCCTTCTCTTGCTTTTGTCCATATTAGAACCCGTGCTAATCATCCTGGATTGCCTTGGGTTAATTTAAGCTGTTTTTCAACTCTTGATTCCAAGAGAAGTTTATGTTTGGTTAGAAATCCATTACCACTAAAATCAAAAGATTATTACGAAATTCACTCAAGATTTTAATTTAATTAAAAGTTAAAGACTTTAACCTTTACCATATGGATGTAACATATGGATTGATTTGAGTCATTTTTATCAAATACATTTCTAATTTAAAGTCATTTTAACTATTCCTGTCATAAATCATTTACAAAAAACAACTTATGAATTATGATTTAAAATCACTCATAAATAAACCTTAATTGACTTTTAATTAGGACTCTTAATTAGGGATGGCTTAAAATCTGAACATGGTAGATTTTGACTTGAATGATTATACATATAATTAATTAAGGACACACAGAATTAAATTTTCTTTTAACCATATTCTGATAATAGATATTAAACCTTATGAGTGGAATGTTAACTTGTATTAATTTAGATTATCTATTAAAAAAACTTAAAACAATATTATTTTAAAAAATAGTTAAAAAATCAAATTCCTTTAATTCAAGCTCCCTACTACATTTTTTAATTGGCTTCCAAACTGTAACCAACGCCTTCTTTTTGCATCGAATTCCTTATCACACTCTTCAATCTCCCTTTAAGCACCTTTTAAAAATATTGGTGAAAGGAGGTGGTAGTGTTGTAAATAAAGCAGTTTATTATTATTATTATTATTATTATATTGAAGTGAAGGAGATAATTACGTTTTTATCTTTGTTACAAAAATATTATTTAGTAAATTTTATGTTTTTTTTTTAAAAATTGAATAGATAGAGAAGAAGATAGAATTAAAAATACATTATGTCAGTCTTTATTCACATGACAGTGGGACCATATGGACCCTACATTTTTAATTGGGTCATCATGGGTCCATGTTTTACTAGCCCGGTCCAATTATAATCCCATAATCCATAAATAACAGCCTGTCGCTTAATTCTTTCCCTCATGGCCTCCCGCCATCGGGTTTCCGTCTCCTTTGCTGACTCCTGTAAACCGACGCCAAAGAGGAAAAATTTTCCTTATAAAAACCCTAAAAGAAAGAAAACATCCTTCCGTCTCCTTTGCCTTTTTCTTTCTTTCAACGATGGAGGAGAAAGTTTCGAACGAGTTGAAAAACAGTGAGTTAAAGCAAGAAATAGTACGCAAAACTATGAACGAACTTCAAGAAAAAGCTTCTTCTGTTCTGTTACTTTGTTTACAATGGAAGGAATTAGAGGATCACTTTGACTCCATCAGGGGTTTGATCCAGGCGGAGAAGGAAGAGGTTGAGAGGACGGAGAGAGTGGTTAGGGAGAGGGAGAGGGAAGTCGGAGTGAAAGAGAAGAGAGTGGAGGAGTTGGTTAACGAAGTTAAGTTTAAAGATCAGGACTTTAAGGAGTGGAGAAGAGAGCTTGAGTTGAAAGAAATAAATTTTGGGCAGAAAGTCAGAGAACGGTATGATGAAATTGAGATGAAGGAGAAGAAAGTTGAGGAAGAGTTCAGAGAAGTTGCATTGAGAGAAGAGAGGGTGGTGAAGAGATTTAAAGAGGCTGAAGAGAAGGAGAGGAGGGTTGGCGAGTTGTTTAAGGAAGTTAGGGTGAAAGATGACGAGTTTAGGGAATGGAGAAAAGGGGTTGAGTTGAAGGAGAAGGAGCTTGAGTTGAAAGGTAGGGAGGTTGAGGAGAGGAGTAAAGAGATCGGATTGAAAGATAGGAATGTTGAGGAGAGTCTTAGAGAGCTTGGATTGAAAGATAGGAAGGTTGAGGAGAGGATTAAAGAGATCCGATTGAAAGATAGGAAGGTTGAGGAGAGGCTTAAAGAGCTTGGATTCAAAGATAGGAAGGTTGGGGAGAGGCTTAAAGAGATTGGACTCAAAGATAGGATGGTTGAGGAGAGGCTTAAAGAGGTTGGATCGAAAGATAGGAAGGTTGAGGAGAGGCTTAAAGAGTTTGGATTGAAAGGTAGGGAGGTTGAGGAGAGGGTTAAAGAGATTGGATTGATGGAGAAGAATGTTGGCAAAAGGAGCGAGGAAGTTGAATTGAATAGGAGGAAATTAGAGGAAGGATTTAGAGAACTTGAGTTGAAAAGGAGGGAGGTTGAGGAGATAATTAAAGGGGCTGAGTTGAAGGAGAAGGAATTGGAGGAACGGTGTAGGGGGTTTGATTTGAAAGGGAAGGAATTTGAAGAGGTTCAGTTGAAGGAGAAGGAACTAGAACAGAGGTTACGGGAAGTTGAAATGGAAAATAAGAAGTGCTTGGAGCGAATTAAGGAGTTTGAGTTGAAGGAGAAACAAGTTGCTGATGCTTGTAATGCCCGTGTGAAGACGGAGACAGTAGATTATTCTATAGATGCTAACCTACATTTTTCAGTGAAAATGGATGGAAAGGCATTGCAAATTTTATTAAATAAGCGTTGTAAACATGATGAGAAGATGAAGAATGAGGTATCTACTGCTTTGGGACTTTCCTCGGATCCTGCAAAGCTGGTTTTGGATGCAATGGAAGGGTTTTACCCGCCCCATTTGAGGGAGGGTGATGTGGAGTTCAAAGAGGTTGTTGTGAAAAGAAGTTGCAATCTTTTGCTTGAGCAGTTAATGAAAATATCCCCAACAATCAAAACCCATGTGAGAAAAGAAGCAACGAAACTTGCCTTTCTTTGGATGATAAAGATGTCAGTGGATGGTCAACACAATTTGGATGTTTTGGGTTTTTTTAATCTGTTGGCTGCTTATGGACTGGCCTCTGCTTTTGATTCAGATGAGCTCATAAGCCGTCTGGTGATTATTGCTCGAAAGAAGCAGACTCCTGAATTCTTGCGTGTCCTTGAACTAGGAGATAAAGTTCCTGGTAAGTTTCTAATCCTTGTGCTCAGTATGATTTTTTTGCTTTCTTCTGTGTCTATAATCTAGCAATCTGTTTTCTGCACTACCATGCTATTAATGAATTGTAACTATTCTATATTTGGTATTGGCAGAAACTTGTATGTGATTAAATTTATAGTTTATTTCACATCTCAATATTCTGTTACGTAAATACAAGATAGTGGAAAATCATGGAAATTCTTAAAAAAGTTGGTCGTTTTTGGAAGCTTTGTCTGGTGCAAGTCAATGAATCCTGTATTGCATGGAGAATGCACTATATACCCTTTGTTTGGAGCAGAAATGCATGTAACTGCAATTAAAGGCCTATTTGAGTGTTCAGCTTATAGTCATTTGTTACGGTGTTGTCAAGAGTGGTAAAGGTCAAGGATAATCTTCTGCTAGTGCTAGCATCACCTGTCAATTTTTAAGCATCGTATAGCGAAATTAGCCTTGGGAAATCCACTTAAATCCATGGCTTGAAGCACACCAGTTTTTCCTCTCAATTTAGCACTTGACTTCTTTAATGCCTGGTGAAAATTAATTGATTCGATTCTCAATCAATTATTTTTTTCATTTGAAATATCTACTGGAGCGTGATAGAACTTGTAACTATTCTTTTGCATGCATATAACAGGTTTTATTCAAAATCTAATCTTAAAGAGACAGCCAATGGAAGCTATCAGATTCATTTATGCATTTGAGATGGTTAATCAGTTCCCACCCGGACCTATCTTGAGGGATTACTTAAGTGGTTCCAAGATTGCAGCCAGAAAAATAAAGAGGAGGAGCAAATCAATTGAAGGACTGGTATGTTTTGCTGGCTTTCTCCTTCAATTTGTCAATCTCTTCTCTTGTGTACGATCCAACTGTTATTATATGCTGAGGCTTGAAACTTTCTAACAGGTTGAGTCTGTAAAGAGAAGAGTAGCTGACCTAATGGTTGTACTGAAATGCGTTGAAGATTACAAGCTTGAAACTGTATTCTCACTAGATACCCTCAGGCAACAAATAAAAGATGTCGAAAGACAACTTTCAATTAGGAAAACAATGTTACCAAACCTGGGCAGCAATTCTCCTCAGCCTAATCTGAGTGAGAAGAAACGTTTGGCCCCAAAATCTGCTGCTTCTGCCTCTGTCCTCTCATCCAAATCTGTCTCTGCCACTAAACCTGCTCTCAATTCCACGATGGCTGCCTGTCCTTCTACCTCAACTGCTCCCATCACAGTCACCTCCCCCTCTCCAACTGTTGCCTACATTGCTTCCCCAGTCACTGTCACCTCTCTTGCCCCATCTACCTCCGCTATTGCTAATCCAGTCGTCCCTATGATTGTTACTTCTCCCTCCACAACAGCTGCAGCCGCTGTTACCCCAATAGCTGTCGCCTCTCCCGCCTCTACTGCATCCATTACTGCCTCGACTACCCGAAGTACAGTTGTCCCCCCCTCCTCAAGCAGACCTTCTGGCTCAATCCCCAAGACTGAACCACAATACCAGGGCGGAAATAAACGCTTTCAAGCGCAGTACCAGGGCAGTGATAAGCACCCTCAAGAACAACACCAGAGTGGAAATAAGCGCCCTCGGATTGCTAAATCACCAGAGGTTCCTCTAAGAGCACCATCACGTCAAAACACTGGCTTTGCACAGTCGGTGCCTGTCCCTCATCAGCGAGCAGAAGGTCCTTTTATACATCAAAATCCATCTGGCGGACACTACAATTGTGCTGGTTATCGCCCACCAAACCCACAGATGAGCTCCCATTATAATTATGGATATCCATATTATCATGAGAACACATTTGGAAAACCTGGATATGACAGTGCTGCCCCCTTTCAGCGGCCATAGAATGTTACATGAAACTCTTGATGACATGGGGCTGGTTAAAGTAGGTGAAGAATTTCTTAAAATCATCACGGTAGTCAACAAACAGATGAGTAAAGCTTCAAGCAAATTAGCAATTTAGTGACAATTCCTTTTGGTATTCTAGTAGCTTATAGCTAGTTAACCTTATATTGTAGGACTTTGATGCCTTTGCTCAAAGATTCCAACGTGCCAAGAAGATTAAACTTTTTGCAGGTGGGGCTCCACATAATGTTAATAGTGATTTTTTGCCTTGTATGGTAGTCTTATCTGCTGTACAGCTTGGTGTATATAATCGACTTAATGGTCTGGTTACCTTGGAGATTTGGGATAGCAAATGCAAGAGCCTGTCTTTCTTGTTATTGTTTTTGGTTTTCAAATTTTCGTGTCTTTTCTCCTTCGGTTCTCTACGACAATTTTACCCCATCTGTCAGGAATTCGATATTATTTGATCTGCTTGTATTAGAATTTGATTTAGTCTGAACTCATCAGCTGGACAATCTAGCATCACTGCATATCAGCCTATAAACCCATCTATGAACTCCTTTCTAATGCTGCAAATCCTTCCTGTCATTGGAGCATGCATGGACCACCTGATTATGATAAAGCGACGACTCGGAGACCACCAAGTGAATTGCCCGCGCAACGCCTCGGATTCTAACTCGAAAGAAGATGATAGGACAGAATAAAATGAAATAAAAAAACTTGGTAAGCATTGAGATTAAACTGATCAGCCATACGGAGTAGGCTATTAGCACGATGTCTTAACAATTCAGAAAAGGTGGAGATTTAAGCATCTCGGGTGCAAATTATGGTTGCAATACCAGCACATCAGTATTTGTAACTGATACAACAAAATAAGTCGTAAGGAACAAAAGCGAAACATCTGCAAGTGGTTAGTGAAGGAATCTGATGTTGGAACAGCAGGGGCTACACGAAGAACTGCCAAAAAGAAAGAAAGAAAGAGCATGAAATCCTGACGGAGCTGCTCGAAAACTTCATCCACAACACAGTTTCTTCATTAGCTCTCTCGCTCTCCGTTTTTTTTTTTGCACACAAGTTTGACAATGTCTTGGATAAGTTAGATTTTTAATGAAAATACTAAACACATTAACCTATATGGTGGTAAATTTTTAGGTTAATAAAAGTTCACGAATATATTATTTAAATTTGTTGAAATTGTTTATTATTGTTTTAATAGATTTGTTGTCAAAGTGTTATTTCTTGGTTATTTTCGATCCAATCAATCTTAAGTTAATTTTGAATAGCAAAAATACATTAAATAAGACTTATTTAGATTTTAAATTTATGCATGAGCTTGGGCTATAAGGGTTTTTAATATGGTTTATATTTATTGAATTTAAATACATATTTTGGAAGGATTCCAAGTCCCACGTAGACTTGATGTGGTAGCATCTAAGGGGATATTTCTTTTGGATTTTCTTTTTTTTATTTTACAGGTATTTTCAGCACATTAAAGAAACTAAAATAAGACAATATAAAGAAGAAAATTCTAGCAATCAAAATAAAATTTTCTAATTAAATTCTTACACTAAAAGTGGTCAAAATACCACTCCAAGAGAGTTTAGATATTTTAGCTACACGAAGAAATTCTAATTATATGAAAATTTTGTTTTTATTATTGTAATTTATTTATTTGATGTTGAACAATTATTTTTAATTATGTCTTGTTTTTAGTTCATTAAACATTGCTTAAGAATTTATTTTACCATTGAAAATATGTTAATTAATTCATAATTTAATTTCATTGACTTGCAACCTAAAAGGAATTAATTAAAGTTATTAAAAAAAGACTATATAATGTTTTTAAAGTTGTAACTATCGAGAGCTTGATGATAATAAACGTTAGTCTTTGTTTTTATTATTTATGGTAAAACATCCTTTATTTACAAGGATAAAGATCATACATTTTATTTATCAAAAAATAATTTGTTTTGTGATATAATTTGCATACTTCAAATTTTTAGATATATAGTTATTTATGAGCCCAAATTTATTTTAATATTCTTGATTCTTAGATATAAAATAAATTTTAGATAAGAGTTTTATCAAATTTAAATTTTATCTTTTGAGATTATATTTTAATTTGGTTAGAGGTTATATTTTAATTTTGTTGAGGGTAGTTTGAAAACATCATTAAAAAGTCTGCATAAAAGTGTCTGAGGCAAGTAAAAATCGCAAGAAAAAACAAAAAACCTAAGAAAAGAAGTAGCAAAAAGAGCATAGCCAAAAACAAGAAAGACGCTTGACACAACAACAAAAGTGAAAAAAAAGAAGAAAAAGAGCAGAACAATCAACAGTACTCAACACACGACAATGGGATAAGAAAGAATAATAGGAACATTGGAAGGTGACGACCGATAAAAGATAGTAATTGGAGTCCAAGAAGAGCTAAACTACTGACTAAAAGAGAGAAAATAGTAATGAGATAAAAAAAGAGAGAGGAAATTGCATAAGAACTTATCCTCAAGTCTCCCAAATAGAATCAAACATACACAACCCTAAAAAAACCAAAAACTAAACTGAAAATTAGACGTGATTGTTATGGCAGACATGACAACTCATCCTATAATGAATTGACATAGCATGGCAAGGATGTAATTCACAGAAACTAAAAAAACAAAGCAAAACCAAGCTAAAAATCAAGCATAGCCACACCTAACTACACGAAGACCATTCCTGCTAGACATGTCTTGATGTACAGTACTGGATTCACCCATCTCTTTAGTTTTATATATATATATATAAATTCTCAGATTGACTTCTTAGTTCTTAGGACCCATTTCCATGTTCTACGATATGGAGTTGAAGAAAGTGCTCACCTTTCGATCTCGAGGATCATATACCAGCTTAATATTGCTCTGCTTAGACTTTTATGGAAAAAGTATACCGATGTTGACTTTGGTTCATTATTGATGTCCTTCGTTCATCACAGCTCTTGCCTCTTGCATTCTTTTATGCAGGCATGGTACAGCCTTTGATGCTTTTTATGGAGGATGACCTTGGTTAATCTTTTCCTTCTAATATTCGAAGAATGATTTCAGCCTTTGAATATTTATGTCAACCCCAGGTGCCATTCATGTTTGACACCAACAATTTGCTCTTGACACGGGATAATTAACTAGCTTGGTATAGATTGCTCCTTACTTTTGGAAAAATGGCTTTCACTCTGCTATTCACCTTATCACATCTTGCTTTTTATCAGGGTCTACAGACTCTTTTGCTGGCATCCACTGCCTCTATATGTGTTTTAGCTCACCTTATAAGCACTTTCTTGGTTTCCTGAGCTTTCTTTTGAGATGTTTAACATATCAAACGCTGGCAATATATATCAGCATAGCACAGTTAAGTTTAACATCTGCATATGCTTGTTGCGAGTCATGCTCGTTGCCTAAATCTCCAGCGAAAAAAAAAAAAAAACTCTACGTGGCTTACATGTTTTTCCTTGTATATTTTCAGCCAAAGGTTTTATCAGCAATTAATTACTATGTTTTCATGTTTTTGTTATTCTTTATATGTAAAAAACACTACTAAAACTCATACGCAATGTTCATCACGATGAAAATTAAGCGCACAACGAAAATCAGGCATGCACATGCAAATTTCACCAAAAAACAAGTTGACAATTAAAAACAACATCAACACATTAAAGAGTCTTGGGATGAAATTTTTCTGGGATGTTGAAATAGATGTGAGGAAACCTTGGGAGAATTCTGGGGAATTTCTATAATTGGAGAAACTCGTGGTTCATGGGAGTGAAGAGCTGATGCACAGCTGCTGTCCTCGAGAAGCTTATTGCAGAAGCTACTGTCTTCAGGTCTGTGATCAAGGCTCAAATGAAGGGAGTTCTTTTATGAAATTTTTCTGAGGTTATCTCCAGTACGTGAGGAAGCTTAGGTAGAAATTTCGGAATTATTGAAGCTGAGTATTTTCAGGGGTCAATGTCACTGGTTCTCTCACTCCTTGGCCGCACTCGTTCCTCTCCGTTGATCTTTTCATTTCATGGTTTCCAGCTCATCCCACTACATAATGCCTTCCTTGTATGTTTTTTCTTCCTTTTACTGGAGTCCCTCTCTTGCTTCTTCTTTCATCCACTTTGCTCACAAAATTTTTGTTTTCTCTTGTTTTTGTTCTTTTTCTATTTTTTTAATTTCTGATTTTTTGTAAATATGAAAAAAAACAGGCAAATGGATTGAAAATACTCTCTTTTTTTTTTTGCATTTTTGAAGTCATATTGAAAAATAGTGTCAAATTCGGTAGAAGACAATGTTTTTCAAGTAATGAAAATCAGTGGAGGTTGTTGATTTTTGTAAAAGTGTTTTTTGATAAAATTTAAATTTTTATATTTTAAATTAAATTAATTTTAATATATTATAGAAGACAATGTTTTTCAAGTAATGAAGATCAGTGGAGGTTGTTGTTTTTTGTAAAAGTGTTTTTGATAAAATTTAAATTTTTTTATTTTCTTTTTTATTTTAAATTAAATTAATTTTAATATATTAATATAAAAAATTAAAAAATATCTTTTTAATATATATTTAAATAAAAAATATTTTAAAACACACATGTTATCCAACATCATCATCAATCTGTCTTCTTCTACAAGAGAGGGAATCTTTCCCTATGCTTTCCCCTCTTGCTATTTATTTCTCTGCCTTTTTTTCAAACTTTAGCCAACAACTTTTGCTTGTCTCCTCTCTTTTTCTTCATGGTAGGTGGAATTGGCTGGCTTTTATTGACAAGAGAGGGGGGAGAGGGGGACATCTTTTTGTCATTGAAATTAGAGGAGTGGGGAGTCTGTCATTGAAAAATAATAATAATAATAAAAGCTGTTTTGAGGGGTCTTTTCTAATGTTTTTAAAAAATATTTTTAATTTTAAAAAATATTAAATTAATATTTTTATTATTTTAATATATTAATATTTAAAATAAACAAATCTAAAAAGTAAATAGTACCCTACACCTTTTGTGATGGCATTGTACGTTTAAGAAAATTGAATGTTTTTGCTATAAATTAATTTATTTTAGTATTTTTAGATTATATTTTCATTAGATAATATCTTATATTGAAAATTAAAAAAATTATTATTTTAATAAATTTTTAAGTATAAAATAATTTAAGACTATATTTGTTTTCCGGAAAGTTATTTTTAAAAAATTACTTTCTAAACTTTCTTATATTTGTTTGTTATTATAAAAATTAATCAATAGAAAACACTTTTCAATTAAAAAAAAAATTTGACTTGGTTTTTTTAAAAATATTTTCCTAAAAAATTCAAACAAAAAATACTTTTTTAAAGTTATGAAAAAATTAGAATATCATATTATATGCTGATTATATCAAATTTGGTCATCAAACTTTTTTTTATTATATATATATATATATATATTGTTTTGAATATTTATTTTTCAATTTCATCTATTAAAATTTAATTTTTATATTAACTTTAATCCTTATTTTTATAATCCTTATTTGCTTTTCTCTTATTATTTTTTATTGGAATTTGTTATCTATTAAATTTGATTCTTGTTATTTAATTGTTACTTATTTTATTTAAAATAATTTATAAAATAATTTATTATTATTATTATTATTTTAATTTTTTCATCTTTAATTTTTTTATTTTTTAGATTTGATCTTTATTATTTTGATTATTATTTATTTTATTTAAGGTGATTCATGAAATTATTTTTTTCAATTACATTTTTATTCAACTTTTTAATTTATAAGATTTGTTCCTTATTATTTTAATAAACTTGAAAAAAATAAAATATTAATAAGTTATTTTTCAATTTATTTTTCATGATATAACCTAGAAAGTATTTTCGAACTTATTTTTTATTATACTATTAAATATCAAAAATAATTTATTTTTTTTAAATTTATTTTAAAAAAAGTTATTTCTAGTAAACAGTATAAAATTATTATAATACAAAACACTATTTTAATGTTGAAAAATAATACTTGTCGTTGTTTTTTAATTATTTAATGTCACTACCTCCATCATTTCTCCAAAGTCTTCCTTTTTTCTTGTCTTTTAGATTTTCTGTCCCCCTCCTTTCGGTTGTTAATCAAAAGAAAATGGCTCCTCCTTTGGATAATTATTTGGGTGTGCTGAGCAGTGGAGTTGAACTACGTCTATGAAAAAAAATTAATTTATTAATTTCTTATATTTTTAGATTATTTTAATATAAAATATTAAAAATATTTTTTTAATATATTTTACGAAAAAATAAATAAATTAATGCATGACTTTTAACACGCTTACAAGCAACCATTTGCCTTCTGCTCTCTCAATCATTTCCACACGCCAAGGTCCTGAGCTGTTAAATACGCTGGCTATATATAGTCTTTGTAGGCACGTGCACGTGCCAGCTGACACTAACTAAATGTACTTGCACTTAGTGTGTTTATCATTTGTCTTCTCTTTTAATTCTGATTTATATTGAAAAATAACATCAACATTAATTCAATAAAAAAATTAATCTATAATTCTTGAATAAACACATTAATGAGTTAAAAGCAAAGCTTTGAATTTTAAATTTTTAAAAAAGACATTAAAATTACTAAAATAATGAGGATATATTAAAAATATATTTTTTGATTTATATTTTAAAATATATTTAAATTACAAAAAGAGCATGAGTGCGTCATAGATATTTTTTTTTTAAATATCCGATGCCTACTGTTACTGATTTATATATTAGTATTATAAACCATACGCTAAGAGTGCTAAATAATAAGATATACATGTTGTTTATATATGGCAACTTGATTTGTTTTAGAAAAACAATATTTGATGTTTATATAGAGCATAATAACAATAACAGATAATAAAAAATAAAAAATAATATAAATTATATTATAAAATTTTATTTTATTATTTAAATTTTTGAGTTGAAATAAATTTTTAATAATATATCAAGATCCTTGTTGATAATAAATTTAAATCTCATCATCTTGTATATAAATTTAAAATTTAAATTTTTTTTATTTAAATGTATATTTTAAGACATAATATAAATCATATGTTAAAATCTTAATTATCAATTTAAATTTTTAAACAAAAATATAAAGTATATAAGTGCTAAGATTGTTTTTGAACCAAGAAATATGCTCCTTAAAAATTATTTTTGAACTAAATTTCAAATAAAATCAATTTAAAATTAACTTAATAAGTTTAATAAGTTTGATAATTTAACTTGTTATAAAATCAAAACCTAAATAAAATCTGATTTATTTAAAATAAAAAAAATTATTTTGTTTAAAATTTTTATTTAAAAAAATTAAATCTTCCAAACTTTTTAATTTATTTAATTCCTAACCCGAAATATAAATAAGCTATTATAAATAAGTTAGGTTTAATAACTTTATAGGGTCTGGTCACGAATGTTATAAATTTTACTTTTTAAAGAATTTTTTATTTGATAATATATTAATTTTTTTTAAAAAATTTATTTTTGGTACTATTATATTAAAATAATTTAAAAATATAAAAAAATAAATTTTCAAAATTTTCAAAAATCGTAAAGCAGGGGCCATATACGGGGTATTATTAAGGTTTTCCCAACACATTAATATGGGTTGTGAATTGCACAAAAATTAATCAACCAATTGACGACGACCTGTCGTTTTACCCTCACCAGCTTCTTTAGTAGTCTCCACTCCGTCCCCGTGAGTAGTGTTAGGGTGTCGTCTCCTACTTCAATGGAGGAGAAGATTTGCAGCGAGTTGAAACTCACTAAGTTAAGGCAAGAAAGCTTCAACCGAAGTCTCAATGAAATTCACAAGCAAGCCTCTTCCATTCTCTCCCTCACACTTCAATGGAAAGATATCGAAACTCACTTCGAGTCCACTTTCAATTCCATCGAAGACTGCGCCAAAGCGCTTCGCACGAAGGAACGGCAACTGGAGGAGAGAGAGAAGGAATTTGAATCGAAGGAGAAGGAGTTTGAGGAACGGTGCGAAGAGTTTATAAAGTTGAGAGATGCGGAGGTTGAGGAGCATTATAAAGAGATTGAGTTGAAGGAGAAGGATTTTGAGGAACGGCGTAGAGAGGTTGAATCGGAGAGGAAGCTGTTGGAGGAGAGGCGGAAGGAAGTCGAAGAGAGGGAGGAGTTGGTGAGAAAGAAGTTTGTTGAAGAGGTTGAGTTGAAGGAGAAGGAAATTGAGGAAAGGCGAAAGGAAATTGAAGTGGAAAGGAAGAAGCTTGTCGAAGAGTTTGAGTTGAAGGAGAAGATAATTGAGGAAAGGCAAAAGGAAATTGAAGTGGAAAGGAAGAAGCTTGTCGAAGAGTTTGAGTCGAAGGAGAAGCAACTCAATGAAGGGCGCAGGGAAGTTGCATGGGTGAAGTTGAAGGTTGGCGAACAACTTAAGGAGTGTGAATTAAAGGAGAGACGGCTTGAGGATAGGGCTTTGGAGATTGAATTGGTGAGGAAGAGAAATGTGGAGTTTTTTGAAGAGCTTAAATTGAAGCAAAAGGAAGTTGAATCGGGGGACATGAAAAACAAGAAGTTTATAGAGGGGTTTGAATTGAAAGAGAAACAATTTGATGAAAGGTGCAAGGAAGTTGAATCGGAGAGAAAGAAGTTAGTTGAAAAGCTTGAATTGAAGGAGAAGCAACTTCTGGAGCAGCAGAAAGAAGTTGAATTGGAAAACAGAAAAATTAAGGAATTTTTTGAAAAGCTTGAGTTGAAAGAAATAAATTTTGGGCAGAAAGTCAAAGAAAGGTATGATGAAATTGAATTGAAGGAGAAGAAAGTCGAGGAAGAGTTTAGAGAAGTTGCATCGAGAGAAGAGAGGGTGGAGAAGAGATTTAGAGGGGTTGAAGAGAAGGAGAGGAGGGTTAAAGAGCTGTTTAAGAAAGTTAGGGTGAAAGATGACAAGTTTAGGGAATGGAGAAAAGGGGTTGAGTTGAAAGAGAAGGAACTTGAGTTGAAAGGTAGGGAGGTTGAGGAGAGGATTAAAGAGATTGGATTGAAAGATAGGAAGGTTGAGGAGAGTCTTAAAGAGCTTGGATTTAAAGGTAGGGAGGTTGAGGAGAGGCTTAAAGAGATTGGATTGAAAGATAGGATGGTTGAGGAGAGGCTTAAAGAGGCTGGATTGAAAGATAGGATGGTTGGAGAGAGGGTTAAAGAGGCTGGATTGAAAGATAGGATGGTTGGGGAGAGGGTTAAAGAGGTTGGATTGATGGAAAAGAATGTTGGCAAAAGGAGCGAGGAAGTTGAATTGGATAGGAGGAAATTAGAGGAAGGATTTAGAGAACTTGAGTTGAAAAGCAGGGAGGTTGAGGAGATAATTAAAGGGGCTGAGTTGAAGGAGAAGGAATTGGAGGAACGGTGCAGGGGGTTTGATTCGAATGGGAAGCAAATTGAAGAGGTTCAGTTGAAGGAGAACGAACTAGAAGAGAGGTTACGGGAAGTTGAATTGAAAAATAAGAAGTGCTTGGGGCGAATTAAGGAGTCTGAGTTGAAGGAGAAACAAGTTGCTGATGCTTGTATTGCCCATGTGAAGTCGGAGACCGTAGAATATTCCATAGATGCTAACCTACATTTTTCAGTGAAAATGGATGGAAAGGCATTGCAAATTTTATTAAATAAGCGTTGTAAACATGATGAGAAGATGAAGAATGAGGTATCTACTGCTTTGGGACTTTCCTCGGATCCTGCAAAGCTGGTTTTGGATGCAATGGAAGGGTTTTACCCGCCCCATTTGAGGGAGGGTGATGTGGAGTTCAAAGAGGTTGTTGTGAAAAGAAGTTGCAATCTTTTGCTTGAGCAGTTAATGAAAATATCCCCAACAATCAAAACCCATGTGAGAAAAGAAGCAACGAAACTTGCCTTTCTTTGGATGACAAAGATGAAAGTGGATGATCAGGACAATTTAGATGTTATGGGATTTTTTTATCTCTTGGCTGCTTATGGACTGGCCTCTGCTTTTGATTCAGATGAGCTCATAAGCCGTCTGGTGATTATTGCTCGAAAGAAGCAGACTCCTGAATTCTTGCGTGTCCTTGATCTAGGAGATAAAGTTCCTGGTAAGTTTCTAATCCTTGTGCTCAGTATGATTTTTTTGCTTTCTTCTGTGTCTATAATCTAGCAATCTGTTTTCTGCACTACTATGCTATTAATGAATTATAACTATTCTATATTTGGTATTGGCAGAAACTTGTTTGTAATCAAAATTATAGTTTATTTCATATCTCAAGATTCTGTTATGTAAATACAAGATAGTGGAAAATTATGGTAATGCTTAAAAAAGATGGTCGTTTTTGGAAGCTTTGTCTGGTGTTAAGTCAATGAATCCTTTGTTGAATGGAGAATACACTGTATACCGTGTTTGGAGCAGAAATGTATGTAACTGGAATTAAAGGCCTATTTGAGTGTTCAGCTTATAATCATTTGTTACGGTGTTGTCAAGAGTGGAAAAGGTCAAGGATAATCTGCTGCTAGTGCTAGCATCACCTGTCAATTTTTAAGCATCGTGTAGCCAAATTAGCCTTGGAAATCAACTTAAATCCATGGCTTGAAGCACGCCAGTTTTTCCTTACAACTTAGCCATTGATTTCCTTAATGCCTGGTGAAAATTAATTGATTCGATTCTCAATCAATTATTTTTTTCATTTGAAATATCTACTGGAGCGTGATAGAACTTGTAACTTTTCTTTTCCGTGCTTATAACAGGTTTTATTGAAAATCTTCTCTTAAAGAAACAGCCAATGGAAGCTGTCAGATTCATTTGTGCATTTGAGATGGTTAATCGGTTCCCACCTGGACCTATCTTGAGGGATTACTTGAGTGTATCCAAGATTGCAGCCAAACAGATTAAGAGGAGGAGCAAATCAATTGAAGGACTGGTATGTTTTGCTGGCTTTCTCCTTCAATTGTCAATCTCTTCTCTTGTGGACGATCCAACTGTTATTATATGCTCACACTTAAAACTTGCTAACAGGTTGAGTCTGTAAACAAAAGAGTAGCTGACCTAATGGTTGTACTGAAATGCGTTGAAGATTACAAGCTTGAAACTGTATTCTCACTAGATACCCTCAGGCAACAAATAAAAGATGTCCAGACGTCAAAAGACAACTTTCATTTAGTGAAACAAAGTTACCGAACCTTGGCAGCAATTCTCCTCAGCCTCATCTGAATGAGAACAAACGTTTGGCCCCAAAAGCTGCTGCTTCTGCCTCTGTCCTTGCGTCCAAATCTGTCTATGCCACTAGACCTGCTCTCAATTCCACGATGGCTGCCTGTACTGCTCCCATCACAGTCACCTCCCTCCCTCCAACTGTTGGCTATATTGCTTCCCCATTCACAGTCGCCTCTCTTGCCGCATCTACTTCAGCTATTGCTAATCCAGTCGCCCCTATCAGTGTCACTTCTCCCTCCACAACAGCTGCAGCCGCTGTTACCCCAATATCAGTTGCCTCTCCCGCCACTACTTCATCCATTACTACGTCCACTACCCGAAGTACTGTTGTCTCCCCCTCCTCAAGCAGTGCATCACCTTCTGGCTCAATCCCCAAGTCTGAACCAAAATACCAGGGCTGTCAAGCACAGTACCAGGGCGGAAATAAACGCTGTCAAGCACAGTACCAGGGCAGTGATAAGCACCCGCACCCTCAAGAACAACACCAGAGTGGAAATAAGCGCCCTCGGATTGCTAAATCATCTGAGGTTCCTCTAAGAGCACCATTACTTAAAAACACTAGCATTGCACACCCGGTGCCTGTCCCTCATCAGCGAGCAGAAGGTCCTTCTATAAATCAAAGCGCACCATATTTGAACCCATCTGGCAGACACTACAGCTGTGCTGGTTATCGCCCAGCAAACCCACAGATGAGCTCCCATTATAATTCTGGATATCCATATTATCATTAGAACACATTTGGAAAACCTGGATATGACAGTGCTGACGCTTTTCAGCGGCTGTAGAATGTTACGTGAAGCTCTTGATGACATGGGGCTGGTTAAAGTGGGTGAAGAATTTCTTAAAATCATCACGGTAGTCAACAAACAGCTGAGTAAAGCTTCAAGCAAATTAGCAGTTTAGTGACAATTCCTTTTTGTATTCTAGAAGCTTATAGCTAGTTAACCTTGTATTGTAGGACTTTGATGCGTTTGCTCAAAGATTCCAACGTGCCAATAACTTTTTGCTGGTGCGGTTCCACATAATGTTAATAGTTATTTTTGCCTTGTATGGTAGTCTTATCTGCTGTACAGCTTGGTGTATATAATCGACTTAATGGTCTGGTTACCTTGGAGATTTGGGATAACAAATGCAAGAGCCTGTCTTCTCTTGTTATTGTTGTTTGGTTTTCAAATTTTCATGTCATTTCTCCTTCGATTCTCTAGGACAATTTTACCCCGTCTGTCAGGAATTCGATATTGTTTGATCTACTTGTATTAGAATTTTATTTAGTCTGACCTCATCGGCTGAACAATCTAGCATCACTGCATATCAGCCTATAAACCCACCTATGAACTCCTTATAATGCTGTAAATCCCTGTTATCATTGGAGCATACACGGACCACCTGACTATGATAATGCGACATCCCTTCAGAGACCTCCAGGTGAATTACCAGCACGATTCCTCGGATTCTAACTCGAAAGAAGATGGCAGGACACAGACCAAAATGAAAAAAAAAAAAAAAAAACTTGGGAAGCATTGAGATTAAATTGAGCAGCCATACGGAGTAGGCTCTTTGCACGATGTGTCAACAATTCAAAAAAGGAGGAGAATTAAGCATCTCGGGTGCTAATTATGGTTGCAATACCAGCACAACATCAGTATTTGTAGCTGATACAACAAAATAAGCCGTAAGGAACGAAAGCGAAACATCTGCAAGTGGTTAGTGAAGGAATCTGATGTTGGAACAGTAGGGGCTACACGAAGAACTGCTAAAAAAAAAAGAAGAAAGAAAGAGCATGAAATCCTGACGGAGCTGCTCAAAAACTTCATCTACAACAGAGTTTCTTCATTAGCTCTCTCGCTCTCCTTTTTTTCGCACACAAGTTAGACCATGTCTTGCAGAAGCTAAAGTCTTTGCTAGAAGAAAGTCCTGTAGAATCAAATAATTAACCTCCTCCATTGAGCCGACATCAAACTCAGAGTAATGATAAGACATCGAACCCACAGATTAATGACACTTGGAATAAATGAACAGCCCATAGAGCAGCAGCCAAGCACGGCGTAAAGAGAAAAAAACTGATGGGAAAGTCAAGAAAAAATATCAATCAAATGAAATTCCAGTGGAAAGAAGTAAAAACAAAGTGAAATATAAGGAAAAAAGGAAAAAGAATAAAGCAGCAGCCGCACCAGTCTAACAAAATACAAAGAGTGAATCCACAGGCCGAGGAACCAAAACACAGACAAACAAACTTCACAATTCAACCAAAGGCGCAGTGCGGAAACTATAACACTTCTCCCACTTAGCTGAAGCTATTCTGCTCATACACAGTCCTGATGCATTTCAAAATCTGCGATGCTTCAGCAAGTCAACTGAAAGGAATGACAGAAAAAAAACTTGTTGCATGAATCAAGTCTAGCATCAATGCGGACAGACTAAAAATCGAAACTAAAATGGCATCAAGTCCGGAAGATAGAATCAAATTGACGAAGTCCCAAAAAAATCCGATTAATCTGGGAATAGGATTCCCAGGCTAGACAATCAATTAATTATTTGATCGGAACAATTATTTAATATTATTTTCTTTCATAATTAAAACCACTATCTATGTTACATGTCTCTAAAAATCTTTTTTAATCAAGCAAGTAAACGACTCAGAACAATAAATTATATTTTTAAAATGTAAAGAATATTTTTTTCTTAAGAATCATTACATTTAAAACAAACTTCTCATTATTGATAAAATAAATGTTTGAAGATGAACAAATTCTTTTCAAACAAAATTTTAAGTTTTTTCTCGAGCACTTTGCTTTGAAATCTATAAAGGTAGAAAATCACCTCATAATGTACCTTCACCTCCTTTCCAAAAAAAAAATAACTAGAGAGTTACATAATTTATTCTAAACAAATATTCCTTTACCAAAACCAAAAAAGAGAAAAAAAAAGGATTAATCAGAACTATTATTTGTTTGAGTTGCTGATAAAGGGCAATGATCCATACAAAAGAGCATTATGCTTAAAAGAGGATTTGATCTCTTCAAGCAATGAAAAAAAAGGAAAGGAAATTTCTTACAATGAGAGAAAAGGAGCATTCTTGCTTACAAAATGTCATTTGGTTCTTTAAATGAGTAACACTATTGTTGTTGGCAATTAAAAAAAAAATTCATGAATAATCTTTTCAAATTGATCAACAAGATAGATATTTTCTAGTGAGTAAATGGCTCATGTTGGGCATGATAAAAGCTAAGTTGAGTAAAATTACACATTCTAGAAAAGACTTATATAAGCCAACTCAAGTGAATTAAAAGTTAAGCGACCAAGATGACTCAAATTAGAAATAACAAGACCTCATCAATTATACAACAAAGAAGGTTCAGATGAAATGAGGGCTTATATTTCAAATTAGATAAAGATATATGTATATAATCTAACTCTAAAATATTGAATATTGTGTTTTGTAAAGATATATAAAAGAAATCTCTAATGAGATCAATCAAAAGAAAGGCTACCTCAAAATAGCTAAGAATTGAAAATATTTTTGAAAAATTTTGACTTTTGAGAAATATTTTACATGAGAAAGTCACCCATTACAATGAGATTATTTTTGAAAAAATTTTGTATTTTTCCACCTGGGTATATCACTTAATACAATGAAATTATTTCTAAAAATTTCTTATATTTTGCCCCTTAAGTAGGTCACCTGTTATAATGATATCATTTCTGAAAAACTTTTGTATTTTTTCACCTGGGTAGGTTACTCATTACAATGAGATTGTTTTTTTAATTTTTTTTTTATATTATTTACCTGGGTAGGTCACCTATTATAATGATATTATTTCTAAAAAATCTTTGTATTTTTTTCACCTAGACATGTCATCAATTACAATAAGATCATTTCAAAAAATC